GGGGACTCTCTACAGAGTTCCATGGTGACATGGGGTATCACAGGGTGAAGGCTAAGTCCCTGACCGAGGCATTCTTGTTGGTAAAATCAAGAAACTCCTCTTTTTGTGGTAATTATCTGCAGGTTCCACCTTTTTCTGAGCCCTATATGTTTGTGTGTGAGTGTGTGCATATTCAATACCATGAGGTGACATTCTAGCCCCAATCTTGGATAACTCTGGGCTCAAACTATGTTCCTCTTATCTTCACATTTTCCCGCCACAAAATGCCAAGTAATGAGTTTGTTCCCTGTACTGTGCGAATAAAATCCACGTAGATCCAGGGAAATTTTCCTGATGACAGACCACCTAGCAATTCCCTTGTTTATCTCATATCCTAGACTACTGAGACTTCAGTAGTACTGAAGGTGGAGGTGGTTGGATGGCCCCAGACAAGGTGCCCTCTATCTGGATATCCTCTTCTCCCCAACATTCTTCCTCCCCATCAAGGACCAACTTCTGATAATTTCTGGGAAACATCTCTTAGCTGCATGGCCCAGACCCCCACTGTCTAGTAGGCAGAGCTGACCGAGTATTCCAGGAGGATCTGAGGCACCTGGGACTTTGGCAGCTACTGCCCTTTTGAGATCCTTCTTTCCCCATGGCCTTAGGGAGGATGGTACAGGTTGCACTAGGGGGCTGAGAGTAGTAGGGGTTGGGAAGGCTGTGAGGGGAGCTCTACAAAAACTCCTAGATGCAGGTATGGGTAGACAGAGAGCCTAGACCTTAGGGCTGAGGTCCAGTCTGACCTTTATTCACTTTCAGTTTATCCTTGCTTACCACAAAAAAACAGAAAGCAGCAGGGTTGTTTACACCCACACCCAACCCTTGGGGTGTTCCTTCCTCACTCTCTTGAGCCAGCCTGCACTCTGTATTAAACTATAAGTGTGTATTTCTTACTTTTGTGTTAAAGTTGGTGTGGGCCCTGCTCAGTCTCCAGAGCTAGGCCACACTCTCTCAGTGAAATCTGTATCTCTTAAGTCATTACATTAAACCTGTTCTCACTTTCTACTGTGACTCTGCTCTTGAACTCTTTCCTGTGAAATCAAGATCCCGGCAAGAGGACAGGGTGGGTTGAGGCTGACTATCAGGCCTTCCCAGACCCTTCCTCCCACATCACTTGGTTGTGTTGTGTGAACCTGAAATAAGCTACATCCAATGTCATCCAAGACTCAAATGATCAATGCACCGACTTTCAAACAGTTCAGCGGGAAAAGGCATCTCCCTCGGTCTGGCTCCACCAATTGAGGTGACCTCAAACCTCAATTTTTTGGTCTAAATGGTGATGTTGGGGACTTCTCACCCAGATGAATACTCATGAGAGCAATGCCTGCCTGTCTAGATGGGCAGTGACTTTCACTTTCCATCATGGCACTGAAGTGACAGCTCGCTAAGCTGTGAAGGCAGTGCTCAGGCCAGCCCTCCTCTGCTGTCCTTGGGAGATGAGGGGGGAACAGGCCACAGGATACCTGTAGCAATCACTTGGGGGTGGTGGGGCAGCTGCTTCTGAGCAGCCTGGTCTGATGGGTTGTGGGCCCAATAAGGAGCAGGGAGAGGTTGATTGGCCACCACCACTCTCAGTGAGGGAATTGGCCAAAGCTGGCCTTGGGTTGACTTCCCCAGGGGTTTGCATCTGGTAATGAGGGGTTCCTGATAGGCCAGGAGGGTGGGCCGTGGTAGCCAGGTGTCTCTTCCCTAGTGTCCTTGTAGAGGCCCTCCTGAGGTTGTCATGTGTCCCAGCCAGCCTTGTTTGGAGCATCTCAGGAATCCTGTTCCTGGACTCAGTTCCTCCTTGGGTTTCTCTTTCAAGGACTGCTTTGCTACCTGTGCTAGTGAGGTGGACAATCAGACTTTGTGAGTCACCCCTGATCCTTCTCACATTTTTAGAGCCCCAGATTCCATCCCCCCAAAATGGAAGAAAGCTAGGGTTTCTGAGGCTGGGGGTGGGAGGTCCACAATTCTCTGTATGAAGTGTTGGTTATCTGAATCTTCTCTCCTTACACACTTTCAAGATGAGGATAAGTTAGGTCCTGGGTGAGCTGGAAATCATCTGAAGCAGCAGCGAGGAGAACCAGCACTGGCCTGGGGGGTAAGAGGTATGACCTCTAGGTTTTGCTCCCCCACTGACCCACTGTGTGGCATTAGGCTAGTCCCCTCTCTCTCTGAGTTCCAGTTTCCCTTCTGTCCAGTGAGGGAAGAGGACTTCGTGTTCTCAAAGGATCCTGCCAACGCTAACCTTCCAGAACTTTGTGACTTTGCTAACGCTCCTCGTGGACACCTTTGCTCACCATGTTCCCTGCTTCTGGCCCCTGGGGAAGACTTCTTTTGCTTTATGAAATTCTCTTTAAAATGCTGACTTATCCCGTTTGTGACTTTGCTAACGCTCCTCGTGGACACCTTTGCTCACCATGTTCCCTGCTTCTGGCCACTGGGGAAGACTTCTTTTGCTTTATGAAATTCTCTTTAAAATGCTGACTTATCCCACTTTGCTGATGAAAAGATAGAGGCTTTCCAGAGACCAGGATGGCTCCAGCAGCTAAGCTCCTGCAGGCTTTTGGTGAAGACATTTGTCTTCTCCCTGACCTCCCCTGTGTATGTTGTTGGGGCAGGAGTGGACAGCAGTGTATGCCTTGCCCTGAGACTGATAGTCCTGGCTATGGGAACCCTTAGAGAGGAGCCTCAGATCTTGGATCCCACTAGTTGGGACCATCTGGGAAAACAGGCAGCCACTGTTGGCACTTGATCCAACAGAAACATGCCGAAGAGAGAAGCCTCAATAAGACGTAGAGTGTGGGAGCCCCTCAGCGGGAGCAGGACCCCTTTCTTTTTATGGAACCATCAAAGGACAATGGATGAACAGGAGGCCTGTGCATATCCCATCTTGCCTCATACCAGGGTCCTTTGATTGGGAGCTTCACAGGGCAATCCTGGTGTGAGGCAGAGCCTTTGTAATGCTGTGAAGGAAGGTGCCTGCATCTGTACAGAGCGAGGTCAGGGAAGTCTTTATCTGGCCATGTCTCTGGGTCCTTGGTCAAAGCATGAAGGAACATCTGGCATAGGGACCAGGTGTGGGGGAAGTTCAGCCCTAGTGGTGTTGCCATCTGTGGGCAGGGGCAGGAAGGTGCGTAGTGGGGGGTACACAGGCTTTGACACAGGCCTGGGGCAGGCCCGCAGGTGTGGGGGAAGTTCAGCCCTAGTGGTGTTGCCATCTGTGGGCAGGGGCAGGAAGGTGCATAGTGGGGGGTACACAGGCTTTGACACAGGCCTGGGGCAGGCCCACAGGAGACTGGTTCACTGCCACAGCAGAAGCCCAGAAGGAATTTCTCCTGTCCCCCAGGGAAGCCAGCCTTGAACTCTGACCTGAGGGGATGGTGGGGTGAAGGGGCAGCGTGCTTTAGCACAACCTGTCTGCCCTGCTAGCAACTAGCAGGACACACCTCCTCTCGCTTAATCTTCCCAATAGTCACATAAAATAGGCTCTCTACTCTGTGGATTTCAGATGAGTACATGAAGCTGTCTCTGGTAGTGGGTTTGGACTGAGGTCTCCCTGGTCTCCATCTCTTTCTTCATTTTCTGATGTGCTTGTTCACTCAAGAAATGTTCCTTGTGACCCAGCACTGGGCCAGGCACTGTGCTGGGTCTTGGAGTATCAGCAGAAGACCAGACAGACATGGCCTCTGCTCTCAGGGGCTTAGGAATTGGGGAGGGAGCAAGGCAGCAATAACCCAGAAAATATCCTTAGATGGTGGGGGAAAGGGAGTAGGTAGGGCCTTGGGAGCCCAGCTCAGCAGCCTTAGGGGGTCAGGGAAGGCTCCCTGGAGGAAGGATTGTTTAAGCTGCCTTCTATGAGCTTCTGTTAAAAGCCTACAAATAAGATGAATCCAGATATTGACAAGGTCTAGAAAGAAGACAAAAAAGTCCCAACTGTGCCTGTGGCTGCAGGTCTAGGTGCCATATAGATCAGGGCCACCCCCTCCTAGCCCCTGGCTTGGGCTGGTGAGTGGCACACATGCACTGTTAGCACTTGGGCAGGTGAGTCCCTTGTGAATGCCCACCAGGTGGACCCAGACTCCACCTGAGACTTCTGGACTGGTAGCAGGAAGGCCTGGCTCTTTGGAAAATAGCCACAATGCCTGTGCCATTGGCTGGAAAGCTCTGCTGCTGCCTGGTGGGCAAGTGTTAGGGCATGTCCAAGTGACAAGGAAGACCTTGGCTCTTCCACCACCTCCTCGGGTGTGTTTCCAGGTTGGGCACAGCAGGGAGGGGAGGAAAGCCCTCCTGCAGTGAGACCTGTGGCACAGGCTTCTCCCTTTAGGACAGTGAGTCACTTCTCAGTACCTGGCCCATTTGGCTCAGGTGACTTTTGCTCTGAAGCTGGCAGGCATGGCCCTGGCATGACCAAACAAAACTGTTTCCCAGTCAAGGGGTTGGGGACATCCATCTAGGCCACAAGCAGTTTTGCAGTCCTTTATGAAAGTCCTTCTAGAGATTGGTGTCTGTTATCAATCTTCCACAAATGGCTGGATTTCCTTCCACGTGTACTTTGATTTCTAACTCTGAAGGGCCATTCCCCAGGAGGCCAGCAGTGCTTGTCTCGGGGAGACCAGGAGGCCAAGTACTATCTTCTTCTTATCTCCCTATTCTGCTTTTTTTGTAGTGACTGTATGCTGCTTTTGTAATAAGGAAAAATGATAAAAGAAATATTAAAATTATAAAATTATTATTGTCATGGAAAAAATTAAATAAATAAATGGGTGATGCTTTTGTGCTTCCAGGGAGTCATTTCAGGAACCCAGAAAATTAGCTACCTTGGCCAAGTGGACGGATTCCTGGAATCCTTGGTAATGAAATTTATCAGGAGTATGGGTCTTCCCTGAGATGAGAAAACCAGGAACAGAATCAATGCTACCAGCTCCAAGCCTGGCTAAGCCAAACTCAGTCTTTGTCCAGAGATCCCCTGGACAATGAGGAACAAGGTAAGGTATGATAAAGGTGGGACAGGCTCATTTTTTCCCCAACTCTTGTTATAAAATTTTCAAACATTCAGAAAAACTGAAAGAATTTTACAGTGAACACTCATTTGCCTACCACCCAGTTTCTACCATGAATGTTTTATTTTTTTATTTTACTTATTGTATCACCATCCTATCCATCTAGCCATCCCTCTAGCCATTCACCTATCATCTTATTTTTTAAAAGATGCTTCTTTTTAATTCACTATTTTTTTTTTTTTTTACAATTTGTGACAGCTTGCTTTTATTTAATCTTTACCATATTCCTTGAGAAAGTTGGTGCAGGTATGAGCATCTCAATCTCATAGATAAGTGACCTGATTATCAGGAAAATTTAGAAATTCACCCCAAAACACAAAGCTAATTCCCCTCTTGGGTTGAATTCAGAAATTCACCCCAAAACACAAAGCTATTTTCGTGGGAGTGAGTGTTTGGTGAATTAATTAATAACTTTGCTAGGCAATGGGCCTAGAAAAAGGAGAGCAGGAATCTCATTTCATTTCTTAGTATCGGGCATTTATGCCCAATATGTGTTTATTGAGTGAATGAATGAATGAAGCCTGGCTTGGAGTCCAGCTGTTCCTCCAAGGCTCTCCTTCTCTCTCTCTGCTGGACTAAGAGCCTCTGGAAAGAACTCAGCCCCAACAGTGGTGTCAGAGATCCTAGAGGGTTCCGTGACTCTCTCACTAAACCTCTCAGTAGACACAGAGATTGAGCACGTCGCCTGGATTGGTCCCCCAAATGCTCTTGCTTTAGCATACCCCAAAGGAGATGTAACCTTTATGGTCAAAGGCTACTAAAGCTGACATCAGAACCTGACCCTGAAAGATGCAGGATCCTGCAAAGCCCAGATAAACCAAAAGAATTCTGAAGTCACCACTGAGGAGGAATCCACCCTGCACATCTATGGTGAGATCCAGAGAGCTTGTGCAGACTTTGATCTCTTATTTTTTCAGATTTAAAACAGATTTTCTTTTTCTCAAGGAATTTATCTCTCTGGGATATGACTACTACGGATCATTTTCACCTCATTCCATATACACAGATGTCTAGTGGAAAACATAACCATAAAATCCTTACACATTATATAATTGCCGTAATTGATATAACTAGTCTTCTACTTGTAGACATTTAGGTTGTCGCCAATATTTTCTCTCACAAACAATGCTGTAATGAATTTTCACGTGCACCTATTTTTTTCACACGTATGTGAGTAGGTTATATTCTGAAGGATAAATCTATAGAATATATTCATGAAGTCAAGATGCTGAGTAAAAAAAGTAGATGCATTTTTGGGCTGGCCCCGTGGTTCACTCAGGAGAGTGCGGCGCTGGTAGCACTGTGGCCGTGGATTCGGATCCTATATAGGGATGGCCCATGCGCTCACTGGCTGAGCGTGGTGCTGACCACACCGTGCCGAGGGTTGCGATCCCCTTACCAGTCAAAAATAATAATAATAATAATAATAAAAGTATATGCATTTTAATACTGCTAGATATTGGCAAATTTCCCTCCATGTTATTAAGTAACCCTCCCACCAGAAATGTTGAGTGCACATTTCCCCATATGATAATGGTGCATTATCTAATGTTTCTATCTTTACTAACCTGATTAGGTTTTTTTAAAAAAGGTAAAAAATAAACTGATTAGGTAAAATAGTATTTCATAGTTTAAATTTATATTTTTCTTATGAGTGAGGTAAGCATCTTTTCATGTGTTTAGAGCCATTTGTATTCTCTTTTTCTATTCTATAACTCTCTGTTAATATCCTTTGCCTGTCTGTATTAGCTTGCTAGGTTTGCCATAACAAAATACCTCAGACTAAGGGATTAAACAACAGAAATTTATTTTTCACAATTCCGGAGACTAGAAGTCCAAGATCAAGGTGTTGGGAGGTTTGGTTTCTCCTGAGGCCTCTCTCCTTGCATTGTAGATGGCCACTTTCTCACTGTGTCCTCCTGTGGTCATCTTTCCATCTGTGTTGTCTGTGTCCTAATCTCTTCTTCTTATAAGCACATCAGTCATATTGTACTAGGGCCTGTATTAGTCCGTTTCTGTTGCTTGTAATAAAATACATGGAACTGGGTGATTTTATAAAGAAAATGAAATTTATTGTTTACAGTTTCTGAGGCTAGGAAGTCCAAAGTCTAGGGAACACAGCTGGTGAAGGCTTTGGCGATGACAGTGATGGCAGAGTATCACATTGTGAAAATGGTAGAGCAGAGAGAAAGACAGACTCTCCTCTCCTCTTCTTCTAAAGCCCTAGAACCACGCCCCTGACCACCATTTTTAATCCATTCACTATGGCACGGTCCTACAATCCAATCACCTCTTCAAGGCCCCATCTTTCAATTACCATAAGGAATTTCCACCCTCAATAGTTACAGTGGGGATTAAGCTTCCAATATGTGAAATTTGGGGGACACAATTCAATCAATCTACAGCAGGGCCCACCCTAATAACCCCACTTTAACATAATTACCACTTTCAAGGCCCTATTTCCAAATACAGTAACATTCTGGGGTACTGGGAGTTAGGATTTCAACATATGAATTTGAGGAAGAACACAATTCAGCCCTAACATTCTGCCTCCCCTAAATTCATGTCCTTCTCAAATGCAAAATACATTTACCCCATCCCAACAGCCCCCAAAGTCTTAACCCATTCCAACATCAACTCGAAGTCCAAAATTCTCATCTAACTATCATGTAAACCAAGTATAGGTGAGACTCGGTGGTACAATTCATCATGAGGCAAAATTCCTCTCAGTTATGAACCTGTGAAACCAGACAAGTCATCTGCTTCCAAAATACAATGGTGGAACAGGCATAGGAAAGAAGAAAGGGGTCACAGGTCCCAAGCAAGTCTGAAACCTAGCAGGGCAAATTCTATTCAATTTTATATTTGAAGAGTAATCCTCTTTTGGCTCCATGCTCTATCCTCTGGGCCCACTGGGGTGGCAGTTCTGCCTCCTGGAACCAAAGAGGAAACCACTCCATCGTGCCCCACCTTTAATGTCCACATTTCTACCAACATTCTGTTCATGATGATATATGTATATATCTCAGATAATAGAAGCTTTTCCTACGACTCTTCTATTTTCTTTCTCAGCCCTCGCCAGAATCATCTTCAACATCCATATTTCTACCAACAGTCTCTTGAAGGCCATCTGGGCTTTTTCTAACATGCGTCTCAAAATTCTTCTAGTCTCTACCCATTAGCCAGTTCCAAAGCCACATCCACATTTTTAGGTATTTGTTACAACAGCACCCCACTTCTAGTATCAAAATCTGTATTTTGATTATTCGATATTTGATTATGGGCTGCCATAACAAAATGCCACAGACTGAGTAGCTTGAACAATGTAAATGTACTTTCTCCCAATTATGGGAGCCGATCAAGATGTCAGTGGATTCGGTTTCTTCTGAGGCCTCTCTCCTTGGCTTGCAGATGGCCACCTTCTCTCTATGTCCTCATATGGTTGTCCCTTTGTGTTGTCTGGGCTCTAACCCCCCTTCTTAAAAGGATATTGGTCATATTGGTTTAGGCCCCACCTTAATGACCCCATTTTAACTTAATTACCTCTATCTTCAATACAGTTCTGTCTCCAAATACACTCACATTCTGAGGTACTAGAGGTTAGGTTTTCAAGATGTGAACTTTGGAGGGACACAACTCAACCCGTAACACCATCTTTCTATCAAGTAATTTGACCTTTCTTAGTGATTTGTAGGGTACTGTGTATATATTAAGGAAATGGAATCCTATGCAGCTAATAGAATTAGAATGAATCAACTCAATATGCATTGACACACAACAATTTTCAAGACACACTATTAAATTTTTTAAAAGGTTCAAGACAGTATGTAGCATATGCTACCATATATATATATATATATATATATATGTCTATACCTAAAATACCTCTGGAAAGATCAACAGGAAACTCATAACAGTAATTGCCTCCAGGAATAGTAATTCTTGGGAAGAAAATATAAGTAGGTGGCTGCAAGCCAGAAAGCTTTTTTTTTTTTACTAAGTACCCTTTTGTATATTTTCAATTTTTTGTGTGTATTACCTATTCAAAAAAAGACAAGAGAGAAAGAAAACTTAATTAAACATATACTCACACATACACACACACACAATAAACAGAGGAAATAAAACAAAAGCCATGGAGATGGCCAAGAAGAAGGTCTGAAATCACAATGGATCCTAAATGTAGACCAAATGTAGGGCATCTCAAGTTCCAGAAGTGGAGCTCCCTACTTCCTAGTGTTTGGGGCTGGGCATTCATCCATTTATTCACCAAACATTCATAAGTGTTTTTCATGGGCCAGGCTGAGTGTTAGATGTTCCTTGAGGAGTTCACATACTGGTGGGGGAGAGAAGTAGTCAGAATATTAGTGACTTGGGGTCATGATGATAACACATGGACATGTCATGAAAGGACATGTATGGAAGTTATGGAAGTGTATGAACATATACAACATTTTGTGAGGAGTTCACATACTGGTGGGGGAGAGAAGTAGTCAGAATATTAGTGACTTGGGGTCATGGTGATAACACATGGACATGTCATGAAAGGACATGTATGGAAGTTATGGAAGTGTATAAACATATACAACATTTTAGAAGCACAGAGAAGAGTCACCCAGTCTGCAGAGAAGACATCCTAGGTCATGCTGGCCTCTCCCTGCTGCTCCAGCTCCTCTATCATTGCCACCTTCTTCTTTCAGACCTTTCCTGCTGGGGAAGGGATCAGAGTGTCTTCCTAATGCCATTGTCCCTGCAAAGCATCTCAGGCACCCTGAGTCACCACAAAGTCTGTGAAGCTGTATGAGAATGCCTTCTGTAACATCACCCTGACATACTTTGTGAAAGAAGCAGGAAAAGGTGTTCTGTACAGTTGGACCCCAAGGGACCCCCATGCTTCTAAGTGCTACAGAGCCTCCAGTCTCACCATCTCCTGATGCCATGTGACCCAAAGCTGCCATACACTTACTTGCACAGCCTGGAACCTGGTCAGTCCCAGCAGCTCCCACCCTGTCCATGCCTGGCAGTTCTATACAGGTAACTTGCTCCACTTAGACCCTCCAGGGGATTCCAGAAAGTATGAGCAGCTGTGGGGTCTAAACCCCAGGGTTCTGTTAGGACACTGATGGGGTGAGGAAACAAGAGGACAGGACCGGAGACCCCTTGTTCTCTACTCCCAGGGGCCAGAGAGAGCCTGGCAGGACTTGAGAACTCCCAGGGCACCGTGAAACTGCAAGGGAGCAGAACAAAGTATAGAGGGAGGGGTCCAAATTGATCTTTGCTTGGATGGAGGCATTCCCTGGGGTCTCCTTAGGAGGGCAGAGAGAGCAGGAGAGGCCAGTATGCAGTGGGCCAAGTGAGGTAGAACAGGTCGTCATGGGAAAGCAGCAGGGATGCCTCCTCAAAGAGGAAGCTGGGGAGAAGAGAACTGGCTGAGGGTCAAGGGAGTGGGGAACAGTGGCTGAAGCTGCAGTGTCTCTTCCCTGCAGACCGAGGAACATGCAGAGGAGGAACAATGGGGGAGACAATGGTGGGGAACCCAGGAAATCCAGTCACCCTGCTCCTGGCACTCCTGGCCAGTGAGGACATAGAGAATGCTGGTCTGGATATTAAACACATCTATTACCCACAAAGAAAGTGCCTGAGTGTGAGCTAACAGTATAGTGCACACCAAACTGAAAAGGTATCCTTAGACCAAAGAATGAAACAGACAACTCCATATGCTTTACAAGGAGTTATTATATTGTTGTTGTTGTTGTTGTTGACAGGTGATTACTTACAGGGATAGGGCAGAGTAGACGTCCAAATGCTGTGCTGAAGAGCAGATGCACTCACCAGCTCACTGAGGCTTAATCCCCACTGTTGAGTGTTGATGGTGGGAAATCCTGTTATGGTAATTGAAAGGTGGGGCCTTGAAGCGGTGATTGGATTGTGGGACCATAATGTAGTGAATGGATTAATAATGATGGTCATGGGAGTGGTTCTGAGGTCTTTAAAAGGAGAGTACATGGTGAGCTATCTCTCTCTGCTCTCTCTGCTTCCACCATCTTGCAATGTGAGATCCCTGAGTCACTGTCACCACCACCAGATGGACTTTGGACTTCCCAGTCTCAGAAACTGTAAGCAATAAATTTCATTTTTCTTTACAAATCACCAAGTTTCAGGTATTTTGTTACAAGCAACAGAAATGGACCAATACATGCCACATAGCTACTTTCTCTGCAACCCTGTAGGGAAGGAGTCGAAGCTTATAGGGAACTTAGGGACGAAAGTGGAGCTATGCCAAAGAGAGAGAGGCCACGGAAGTGGAAGATTCCCAAGTGCCTTGCAGCCTCCCATTGCTTATCCCTGGGGTTGCTGGCATCATTCCACTTATCTTCACAAGCATAGCATTCTGTTACTTTCCCATCCTCAGTTGCTAAGCAACCTGTACAGGGGAAAGATCATAACTATTGAAACCAGAGCTCCAAAGGCCACAAGGATGGAGTGAGTTCTGACCAGCATTTATACAGAGTAGGAGGAAGCAGCAACAGCAGATCTGTTCATTAAAGCCAAGGATCCTGACAAGAACAGGGTGTGCGTCTCTGGCCAGGACTACTCCTTGAAGACTGGCCAACCAAAGACGGAGGACGCTGGCCCTGCCATGCTTAGAGGCCTCTAGAGTCACCAGCCCAAAACATATGACTCTACTCTGCTACCATGAGTCTCTGGACAGAGTTCCCTTCATTAGATTCCTTCCTTGAAAGGTTTCTCCTCTGCTGACTTCCCCACCTCCCTCTTTTCTCAGGCCTCTCCTTGAACCAAAATGCTTCAGACCACTAGGACAGTTAGTCAGTTCATACCAGTCAATTCACAGGAGGAAACATTACAACCAACAGCTGGGCAAAAACCTACCTGCCAAGGTGCCCTTGCTCTAGGCTTCCAATTAGGCCTTGACTACCCAACTTTCAGTACCTGCCCCTGTCCTTCTGCACTGATTTTCAAATGGGACCAGGAACTCTCCAACCTGCATGTTATTGAACATTAAATCTCTGTGACATTAGGTAAGCCATAAACCTCTCTACCGTGTCTGCCTTATGTACTGCTATAACACCTTGCCTAGAACAATGCTTGCTCAAAAAATGGTTGTACAATGAATAAATGAAAAGAAATATTTTCTGAAAAATCATGGAACTTTAAGAGGCAGGTAGGATGGCCATTATGTTCTGTCCATTGTTTGCTCTAATCTCTTGTCATTGTTTGTATTAATGTTATTCATTTCCTCTTCAAAGGGCCTGAAAGAAACATGAAGCTTTGGGTTGGGATCTCCCTGATGGTTTCCAACCTTCTCTGCATAAAGCATATAAAAGGAGAACTGTTCTGATGGATGTTGGGGTGGAAGCTGAGATGCCTGCTCTCACTCCCCCACACCCATCCCACAGTGTCCTAAATTACTCCTTTGAACTCTGGAGCTCTGGGGTGCTAAGGAATTCCCAAACTCTGCCCACTCAAACCAAACCCTGCTTTAAAAAACCTTATGTCACCTGTCATGGAGGGGATTCCCCCAAGGAGATGGAATCAGAGGAGGAACTGGGGGGGGGGGGGGGGGGGGGGTCCAATCATTTGGCAATGAAGACTTTTTTTTTTTA